ATACAAGTTTTGTTTACTTTTTACAGTATTTGCAATACTTCGTAAGTACACTTCTACATATATACATTGAAAAAGACATATTGAAAAACATAATAAAACATAAAATGTGTTACTTATAAAATTAGAGCACCTAAAAATGGCCTAAGGGGAAGAGTCCTGCTTTGTTTTCATTTACTGGTTTTTAAATTTTTTTTCTATTATGGTATTTATAAGAGTCTTCTCTTTTTCATGTTTTGTTTTTATATTGTTTTATAGTTTCTTTAATCTAGTTTACAAAATATTAAAATTTTTGTGAGGCAAAAGTTCGGACAGTGGACCGTGGGATGGATGACATGAGGGTAAAGGTGCTTGCAGCCAAGCCTGAGCTAGCTTCATCCCTGGGTCCCATATGGTGCAAAGAGAAAATCATCTCCCTCCAGCTGTCCTCTGACCTCCACAAGAATGCCATGAATCCCTACTCACATAAATGAATGTAATGAAAAAGCAAGTCCTGAAGAAAATTGTCTTTAAATTGAAATGAAATTAGCCCACTAAGGTTAATGCCAAGTCAAGAGTAAGTTTTAGCAAATTGAGTTGGGTGTCTAATCTTTCTTAAATTGAAAACGTGCATTAATAATGTATTTTAGAAGTCAATGCCCTTGATGCTTTCTCACTGAAAACTTCAGCTCTTTGAAATATCTGGATTTGAGAACTTCTGACAAAGCTATCTCTAAAAATTGTAAAAGGAACAATACAATTTATTCCTGCTATTTCTAGGGCTGGGCAGATGGCTCAATGAGTAAAAACACTCACTGCTCTTGGAGAGGACCCAGCTTCAGTTCCCAAAACGTACATTGTGTCTCATAACCACTTACATTCAAGTTCCAGAGGCGCTAACACCCTCTGCTGACCTCCTTAGTCATCAGCGACCCATATAATACATGTATATACATGCAGGCAAAATACTCACAAAGAAATCCTTTTTTAAATTTTATTCTATTCCAATTCTTTAAAACAAACAAGCAAGAAAAAGCAAAAGACATCTAGCTTCAAAGGGAAAAATCCCTAGCCTTTTCAAAATAAAAAGCAGATCTCTTTAGCAACCCTTTTTCTGGACAACTATTTTCAGAAAGGCAATTCTCTTTCCTGGACCATAAACTACATTGCTATTCAAATAAATAGAATTATCAGCCCTGTAGGCACTTCTTTTATTTACTCATGAGACTGGAATGGTTTAAAAATAAACACTATACTACATTGGACTTTGCTGTGATAAAGGACAGAAATTGCCGTTCTAGGGGCTGCATAAACTTCATTATAACCTTACTGCAACTCTCCAAAGCAATTCCTTTAAAAAAAGCAGATTTTGAGGCTTATCCTTTCTAGAGAAATTTGTTACCTAAAAATACATTCATATGTTATATTCCCCAGTGAGAGACTGGGATAATTCTGACATCCATGCTATCAACAGTCCACAGGATCCGAATTACTGTCCTCATTTTACAAGTCTCTAAAATGTTTAAATTTAAGGCAGAGGGCTAGGCTTATCTCATGTAAGCGATGGAACAAAATCAGAACCTAGGCAGGTAGAGTTCCATGCATCAGGGTCTTCTCAAGGTTCTGGAATGCAGGTCCCTCTGAGCCCTATGTCCCTTTCATCTATAATGGGGAATCCAAATTACATCTCTAGCTTTCTGAAAACACAGTGACAGAGAGAAAGGAGTGATGAGCAAATTGGCAAAGAATGGGCTGGCAAAACCAGCAGAGACAGCTGATCTGAACAGGGGAGAGCTCTTGGACCCCAGACTGACAGTGGGGAGGCCAGCATGGGACTGATCTGGACCCCCCCGAATGTGAGTGTCAGCAAGAAGGCCTGGGCAACCTATGGGGCCCTGAGCTGTGAATCAGTGTCTATCCCTGGTATACAAACAGTCTTCGTGTGCCTATAGCACAAAGAGGGATGCTCTCTCAGCCTGGACTCTTAGGGGAGTGCCTGGACCCTACCCAGAGTAAAATGACAGGCTCTAGATATCCCCTATGTGGAAGGATTTGGCAATAGGGTGGGAGGGTGGGGGGGGGGAAGGGGAGTGCGGGAGGAGGGGAGGGAGAGGGAACTGGGATTGACATGTAAAACAAGCTATTTAAAATTAAAATAAAAAATGATAAACAAAAAGAAGATAATACCCAGGCATCAGTGGGTCCTACCATATTCTGCAAAGCATATACATTCCTAATTTTCATTTGTTCCATTGTTTTGTTGTTGGTGCTTTGTTGATATTAACTCAGGGTCTCTCCTGGCCTGAGCTGGTCTCAAACTTGCTGTGGAACTGAGAATATTATTGAATTCCCAATACTTAGGTTTCACCTATCTGAATATAGTTGTCCAGAAAAAGGGTTGCTAAGAAATCTGCTTGTTATTTTAAAAAGGCTAGGGATTTTTCCCTTTGAAGCTAAATGTCCTTTGCTTTTTCCTGCTTGTTTGTTTTAAAGAATTGGAATAGAATAAAGTTTTAAAAAGGATTTCTTTGTGAGTATTTTGCCTGCATGTATATACATGTATTATATGGGTCCCTGATGCCTAAGGAGGTCAGCAGAGGGTGTTAGTGCCTCTGTAACTAGCATGTAAATGGCTATGAAACACGATGTAGGTTTTGGGAAGTGCTGGGATGACAGACATGTAACACTCTGACTTGTTTATGCTGTACTTCAGGTGGAACTCAAGGCTTTGTGCAAGCTAACCAAGTACTCTATCAATTGAGTTATATTTCTAGCCCAATTTTTCTATTTTCTTTTATTTTTATACTTACTTTTGTGTTCATGCTTATGTGTGGGCCCAAGGCACATGTATGGGGGGTCACAGGACAATTTGTCAGAGTCAGTCCTCTCTTGATTCAGTTTGGGGGAAGCTTAATGGCAAGCATCTTTCCCTGCTGAATAATCTCACAGCCTCCAATCTTATTCTTTAAACAGAAGCTAGATTTTGATCTTAACTTACTCCAAACTAGTGTTCACGACATCACAGGAACAATATTTTTCTAAGCTACTAGTCTTTCTGTAAAAAATTCTTTACTTACTGTTATTATATGGTAACCTATTTGAGGAAATTTAATTATTCCTTTTCCAATAGAAAATACTGCTTACACAGAATCCAGTCTTAATTAACCACACAATAGTTGTGTCTCAGATATTTAGGTCAGCTCAGGCTGCTGGGGGTTTCAAATGTTTTCTTTCACTTTGGTCTAGAGGATAATTAGCTCCTTGGCATTTGACAAGGCACACTGTCACAATGACTTGTCTATACCAGCTGAGGTTGACTGGCAATGACATTGTAAATAAGGTTTGTAGCAGGAAGCATCTTTAGAAAGATTCCCTCACTGGGGGGGAGGGGCTGGAGATGTGGCTTAGTTAGTAGAGCGCTTGCTCACCATGATCCAAGTCCTGGATTTGATTCTCCGGCTTGCATTAATGAATATGGTGATACATATCTTTAATCTCAGCACCTGGCCACCGAAGGCAAAGTGATCAGAAATTCAAGGTCATCTTTGGCCACACAGAGAGTTTAGGGGTTGCCTCGAATACAATAGCCCCTGTCTAAAAACAAAAAGAAATCTAAGAAGTAAGTTATTTTTCTTCCTTTTATCCCAAATAAGAAAGTTGCTGAAGGCAATTGATGCTGTAAGATCCATGGGAATGTTCTGGGGAGCTTGGGATATAGTGAGGCAAAGTCCACTTGTTCATTAAATGGCAATGTATCATGATTAGAGTTTTCAAGAGACTTTTACTTTCATATAGTTCTATTTCCTTTTAATTTTACCTATAGAACATAAAATGCTATAAAATAGAAATGAGTCTTCCAATCAGAAATGTTCAGAGGGTCTGTCTGATTTTCTCCATGAGACTAAAGGTTTTAGATTGTGAGAAATATCTTGAAAAATGATGTTTGTATATGTATTTAGAATTTAGCAAATCCAAAAGCCAGTTCTGAGCTCTTATCACACTAATGCAGCTACTTTAGACCTCAAAATTCACACAAGTCCCTGCTTAAGAGTATTGGGAAAATTATTGCTACTGTGCTCTGTACAGTGAACAGCTCTATTGGGAATCTTAAAAAGAATAAACAAATAAGGAATTGCCAATTATATATGACAGAGAGTCTATGCCTAATAGAAACTGATACAACATGACTAAGACTGAATGAGCCAAGAACCCATACTTCAAAGACATGGTGTTACATAAAACTGAGAACCAGAACCTAAAACAGGTATAATACATGACCTTGGGGTTTATTTCCACCATGAACACGGGGAAAGAACTACATTTTAGTTCAGTATGTAGCCCTGTGGCTGCCTTGGGAAAATCAATGTATTTATTTAATACATAAGTAAAGGAAAGAGTCCCAGGTCAGTGAATGAAAGATAAGTTGTTCCGCATCCAAGGAAACAAATGTAGAGTGTGAGTGTTCAGACATCCAAAACTTTCTAGGTGTGCTTTTAACCTGAATGGAAATTGTCATGAAGATGATTTTCACATTGCTGATGAGACTGGGAAAGAGATCTGTAGTCACTTGATACTGTGAATGCTAACTGGTGGATGCTCTCTGCTAGCCAACTTAAATGAATTCCAATGACCCAGGACAGTCCTTTCCCGATAGTAGGTTTTCTTCGTGAAAAGAATCAGGAGATGATCACATGCTGAAAATCTCTGCAGCACCAGATGACCTTTGAAGGTTAGGGTTGGCTAATTAGGAAGCGTGGCAACCAGTGATAAATCCAATGAACTTTTAGGTTCAAAAGAGTGAGGTTGGAGGTTGTCAAAGAAATGAATCCAGGTGAGTTGTATATCACTGGCAGGCCAATCTTAGTGGGGAAAAAAAGCTTATAGGTAAATGCAAAATGCCAAAGTATGTGTGTATTCTTCAGATGTCTCATTCCATCTTTACTTGGTACCAGATATCATCCAAGCCGTACCTTTGAACGCAGGGTTATTGCACAATTGATGTTTCCCCCTTTCTTTCCCTCCAGGCCCCGCTGCAAAAAAGAAGTATGTCAGTTATAATAACCTGGTTATCTAACCTGTTCCATCCCATGGAACCACGGAGGAGGAAGACCTTCAGTTACTCCGTCACCCAATCTGGCATAGGACTCTTTTGGTCCTGCCCGCTTCCTATCTCTGGAGGAGCTTCCACAGCTGGGAGACCAATGTCAGAGGATCCACACATCCTAAACAGCTGCTTTATGAGACACCTTTATTTTATCTTGGCTTAAGAAGTCATTGGCATCAGCACTGCCATCTCGGCTGCAATTCTGGACTCCCTAAGCAAAGGGAGAGTTGAGACTCAAGTCCCACCCGGCTCTTCTGGATGAACCATTGAGAGCCTCAGGACTGTTTTTGGGGCTGATTTGTCTTTCTACGTATGTACTTCCAGGCTGCAAGGTTTTGAAATTTTCTGTACAGTTTGTGAGGAACTTTGCACTTTGCCACCCAATGTTGTATCTCGGCTCACTGTTTGTTTTTGAATGCCCTGTTTTCTTAGAACCTTATCCTCTCAGATGTTGGGAATCTTTGAGAAAAATTTAAACAGCTTAATTTAAAGAAAACATATCGTGGCAGATGTAAGAGAACACAAATCTGCATACATATCTGTAAATGACTGTATGGTTATGATTCTAGTACCACAGAAAATCCTGTTATTTTTTTTAAAGATACACACAAATCGATATTTAAAGACCAAAAACTGTGCTGAGAAGATATGCCCCACCTATCTTTGGTACACAGTAGGTGATGTGATGTCAAGGAAAAGCATTGGCTAAATGGAATACAGGTCTTGATCTTTGGAATGCATGCCAGTGACGTATTTTAGAGTACACGTTTATAATTTGTGTTCAATATTTGTATTTGTGTTCTCTTTTGTTATTTTACTTAGGGTATATGGATATTTTTGCAATAATTTTAATGATTATTAAGCTATTTGAAGGAAACAATATGGATTTTTCATGTCTTGAGGTTTTGTTCATGCCCCCATGACTGACCAGCGTGATAAGGACTTTAAAAAAGAAGCATGTACGTTTTTTACTGTTTGTAATAAGTACTTTCGTTAATCTTGCTGCTTATGTGTCAATTTAGTGGACAAAAAAATTCCTTGCTGAAAGAATTCCCTTTCCATTCTCTTCCAGTTCTGTGGTATTGTCTAAGAATGTATCAATAAAATACTTTGGTTAACTTTTCTATTTTCTGTAGTAAGAACTTCAGTTACCCACCCCCCACACACTTGTTTACAGTTTATTTGAAACCCTAAGCTACAGAACACTAGTGACAGCTCAAGTCCTAAGTTTCCAAGGGCATTGTTTCTGGAATGCACAACAAAACCTACAGGCTCTCCTGGAAAAGGGAGAATCACAGAAATAAAGCATTTTCTCTATTGTAGGCTTCAACGGATGCTGTAACGATACACGACACACAATTACTGAAAGTAAAGCTAAGTATTTAATGTAGAAATACTCACAAGATACCAAACAAGTAACCCAGACGATACAAGCCGTTTCCTCTGCCGAGCCGGAAGCCGAACTCCAGGAAAAGAGAGCGAGACTTCCTGTGCGCTGTCTTTTATGCCTTCCCCCGTAACGCCCCCTAGCCATGCCCAAAAGTGGGCCTGGCTAGTGACATAGTTCTGCCTACGTACGTATACGTCTTTACGTCCAGCCGTATACGTCTTTAGTCCTGCCTAAAGTGGGTGTGGTTAGCTGTGTGGTAAACCGCCCTTTTATTACCTCATCTGTATGCGACTCTAATAAGTCACATGTCTAATGGCGGCATCAGACTTCCTCCTACACTCTATATAACTCAAACTCATTCCTTACAGAGGACCCTGCTTCAATTCCCAGCACACACCTGGCAACTCACAACTGTCTGTAACTCCATTTCTAGGAGACCTGACACCCTCATACATGCAGGCAAAACACCAATGCACATAAAATAAAAATAAATAAAAAATTCTCATATGTGCCACGCAGTGGTGGTGCACTTGGAAGGCAAGGCAGAAGGATCTCTGTGAGTTCAAGGCCAGCCTGACATACAAAGTGAGTTCCAGGACAGCCATGGCTGTTACACAAATAAACCCTATCCCGAAAAACTAAAATCAAACAAAACAAAAATTCTCATAAGTTAACTCAGCAAGTTGTCTATCAAAAACTAATAACAATATAAGAAAAAGAAATATTTGCTTACAGACAAGCGCTCTATATAAAATTCATTAAAAAGATGAACATTTCTACAAAATGAAACTGAAAGAACAGGGCATAAGAGAATATAACTGGGACAAAGGATATGTTTTTGAAAACAAATATGGTGGTGAAGTTTGTTGAAGCAAGATTAAGACTAAGGATTTCATAGTCTCTAGAGAGAAAAAAGAAAACACCCTTAAGGACCTATTCACAGCAGCATGCATGCCAGGAACATACCATGTTCTCCTTGTGCAGAGTGACATTGGCACTTAGCACTCCAAGTAGGTCCCCAAATCCAATGTGTATTCAAATGGCCCCTGGCTGGGGAAGGGGGAACTAGCTCAGATTATAAAGTGTAGGGGGTTATTTCTTTCCTGCCAGCCAGTCTCCAAATAACCAACATGGAGATTTAATATTAATTATAAATGCTTGGGCAACAGCTCAGGCTTTTACATTTAAATTAACTATTACATTTAAATTAACCTGAATTTTTTTTTGCTTTGCCACATGTGTTGCTACCTTTTCTCGGTATAGCATGTCCATCTTATTTCTTCGTCTGTTCAATACTCCTCTGACTCCTCCCTTCTTCTTCTTCCCAGCATTCTTATAGTCTGGCTTTCCAGCCTAATCTCTCCCACCCAGCCATAGTCCAGTCGGCTCTTTATTAACCAATTAGAGCATTATGTATTTACAGTATACAAAGATTGTTCTATAGCAATGAAGTGCTTGCCACACAAGCATGAAGACCCAAGTTTGATTTCCAGAACCCATGTTAATAAAAAGCCAGACTCAGTGGTGTGTATTTAAAATCCCAGCAGTAGAGAGGTGGAGACTATCATATCCCTCAATCCTCCCTAGAAGCCAACAAAACCTCCAAACCAACAGACTCTGCCTCAGAAAACAGAAATAATACTCCAGTTGACCATACACCTGGTGCCCCCCAGGGGTGGGCACACATATATACACAAAACATGTTGGATGGATGGATGAATAGTTTAGATAGATGGTAGATAATAGATGACAGATAGATAGATAGATAAAATGGTAGATTAAATAAATATTCCATGGTGAATGTAGTTGTCACTCATTTCTACAATGCAAGATAAAACTCTCATATTCTTCCTACCTTTGGTCTCTGCTGAGGTTTTCCTGTAGTCCCTTGCAAGTGATGCTTTTGCAGAGATTCCAAAATTTCATTTTAGTATCAGACTGCAGAAAATGAATTGCCTTTTCCATTTTCTCCTAGTCCTTCAACATTCTCAAACTGATAGACTATGGAGAAATTGCAAATTGCAAATCAAAACAGAAACACATTTGGACTACTACCACTAGCACCAACATCAGTGTGGCTACATCTTCTTTTAAAAACAAATTTAATATCACAGTACCTTCACCTCCCTGATGGGGAAACATAACTTATAAAATGACATGTGAACTGATGATGCTGTCATGTCAAAATGATCAGATGACCATGTTATAAAATCACTTTCACTAAGAAATTATACAAAAGCTTTTCTCAATTATCCAAATGTTCAACAAGGAATGCAGAGGAGTCAGTAAATGCGTATGGCATTTAGAGCAGGACAGGGCTCCTTCTGAAATCACCAGCTTCTCTATGCATTCATCCTCACAATACAACTGAGCTAATACTGATCGCTAATGAAGAAGGGAGGGGTATAGTTCAATATGCAAGGAATCATTAAATATATCACATAGTTTATATAATGTAATATACATTAAAATGTACATCTATATAAATTTGTTTAGCCCTTAAATTCACTTCTAATATCTTACACTACTTCCATCTCCCACTAAATACCTTGGGATTTAAGTTTGTCTATAGCTAAAGGACAAGCATATCAGAAAATACTATCAACACCAAGTCTATAACTTGGATCTGGAGGGACCCCCTCAAGGGTTCCTCGAATGTTGAATGCTTGGCCTGAGATTAACACTTTTTGAAACTGGTAGAAACTATGAAAAGTGATACCTAGTAAGATCCCCAGGGGTGTTACCTAGCACAATAGTCCCCAACATTACCTATTCCTCTTCAGTTATTTGTCAGTCATTGTCATGTCTGGCCTTTGCTGGTACTGTTTGAAAAGACAGTCTTTAGCCATCATCCCAGGGAATCAATTTACTTGTTTTATTTTCTTTATGACACTTAAGATGATTATCTGATTTTCTAGATTTGTTTTACTGCTTTTGTTAGTCTCCCTTTAGCATTCTGTTTCAGAAGGTCAGATATTTTTGGTTTTGCTCATGTTATTTTCCTAACCCTTAGACTAATGTTTGACAGGTAGTAGATTGTCCTAAAGATATTTGTGTCTGAGCCAGAGAAAGAAAACATGGATAAATGAAGTGCAAGGCTGAAGGCCACAGAAAAGGCTGTGCTGACAGGGGTCATCAGCTCCACAAGAGGCATCAGGGCTAGCACTCAAAGGCTGAACTAGGCTGTGGTAATGATGGTGAAAACAAGAGGGATGTGTAAACATTCCACCCAGCAGCATCATTAGCAGGGTGGCAAGCTAGTTCCCTGAGATGGATGTCTTTTGATCAGAAGATGAATCCACCTTTTGAGTAAATAAATTGGGAAAATACAAAGAGGTAAATATCCAAAATTAGATTGCTTTCATTAGAAGAAAAGGACTCGCACCTGCAATCCCACCCAGTAGGTGTCACAAGGCAAAAGCAGGAGAACTATCATGAGCTCAAAACCAGGCTGGGATACAGAGTGAGAACCTGACTCAGGCAAACAAATAAGAAGAATGGATTAGGATACAAAGAAGAGAGGGAGGGGTTGGAGTAGGAAGGCACTAGACTCCTTATTAGAATTCTGTCGGGGTTAGAGCTCAGAGCTCTGCTTCTTGCCAGTGTCAAAGGACAGAATTACAATTTCAAATCTTAATTGGCTTTCTTTTTAAGTCTCAGATTGGGCAACTCTTCACTCCATAAGATGGATTATGTCTTCCAGTGAGCCAGGCAAATGAGATTGGCTTCATAGACAGAAAAAGGCAATGGAAAGCAGATGGGTCAACTCAAAGTGACTTTCCTCATAAGTGGGAACAGGCAGGTTGAACAATCACCAAATAGCTGATTGGTCAATTTCAGTTGCCTTTTCCTTAGTTGGACTGAAGTCTGAGCTTCATTCCTGTGCCAGTGTACAGTAGCCAGCTGGGCAATGTTGCCATTTTACCTCTCTGATCCTGATAAACAGCCTAGTCTTGGCTCAATGACAGGGAACTTCAGCAGGAGTGGTTCCATTTTGATTTTCATTCTGGTGTTTTGAGGCTCAGTGCTAGAGCTCAATCCAAAACAGTGACTTCCTGTAATTTTTATTTAACACCAGCTATGAAATCTCAGACAATCCATATAGCCTGGGACCTTCTGACTCTTCATCTTTGTAATGGATATGGGATATGCATGCAAATCTCTGTCATTCATCAGGGAGACACTATCAATTGGTTCCAGAACATTAGTTCATTCTCAGAGTGTGCCAACCAAGAACGAACACCATCATCAGAAGCAGCATTGGATGTGGTAAGCAGGGTCCAACTTGGGTAAGAATAATCATTCCATTGCTGTCACCACAGCAGATACAGCCTGAGGTATCCAGCAGCACTTTTGGCAGCCACTTTCTACAAACAAAAGCAATTCGATTCCAGTGAAAATCCCAGAGCCCCTAAGCCAACTGCCTCTGCTGTGATTTCCCTTCTCATATTTCCTCTATAATTTATCCTCTTGAAATTTTTTGTTTTATTATGTTGTCTTCAGTGTTCTGCTAACTCATAATACCTAAATATATTCTCCACCCATCCAATTTCTGTCTTGTGGATAAAAATGTTTTGCCAAGGCACTGACAACATTCTGACTGAAGGTGAGTGTGGCTCTGGAGCATTCTACAGAGACCTGGAGCTTTGGTACCTTCATCAGCATCAGATGGATAATAGATTTCTGGTCATTTCATCAATTAGAATACACAAAGCACTACAGAGACAATTGCTG